TTTGAAAATAGTTGCACAATATTGAGTATAGTAAATGCCACTGAATTGTACATTTTAAGATAGTTAAAATGGTAAATTTTATATGTCTTTTACCACAATAAAAAAAAAAGAAGGAAAACCCTGGTAACTAGCTAACATAAACAACACTAATGGAGCAATGGACTAGAGAGATTGGATATTTTAAACAGGTAGCTGCTACGGTATTCCAGGTGAGTATGAGAATGTGGACTAGGTCAGTAACAGTTAAAAAGGAAAGGAAGAAAAGATGGAGTTCCTGCAAAGATAGAATTGACAAATCTTAACTGATATGGTGAATAAGGGATAAAATCCAGTTAATACTCCCAAGGATTCTGCTTCATGTGAGTGGACAGAGTTATGCCATTCACTGAAGTAGATAACACAAGATATTTTACTGATGGCAAAATTGAGGAACAGGAAAGTATTACTCCAACTTCACACTGCCAATGTGTGCGAGGGTGGAAGTGAGAACACATCTAATCCACTGTCTTTCCATCATATGAGCTGACTCGTTTTTCTTTGTTTCTCTCAGGAGGTAAATGAGCCTAAAACATTTTCTACAATGTATCACATTGTAATCAACTTGTTCCCTGGTATATCTCCCTCTCTCCATGCTTATACACTAATCTTAGTTGTATATCTGGCAAACTAGTAAACTGTCAGGTTCAACAATAGAGTAATGGTACTTAGCTAAGAACATGCAAGAGAAACCAGAGGAAAAATAAGAATGTTTAAGAAGCAGATAACAAAAAAGGAGAGAAGAAAGAAAGATGGTCAGGTGAAGTGGCTCTCACCTGTAATCCCTGCATTTAGGGAGGTGGAGGCTTATTTTCTATAACGAATAGAAAGTATAACTATTTGAGGATTGAGACTTAGTTTAACACATTTAAAAAAAGAAAAAGAAAAAAGCATCAGGGATTTGAGAATACAGAAAAGTCTTTTCCTTTAGCTATTGTTATTATATATTGCTATTACATGCCCCAGAGGGCAAAAGAACCCTGAAAATGAAAGGATCCTGAGAAAAAGGAGTCTATTCAGGGTATTTTTGTTTATTCCGTGGCTAGGCACAGGAAGAAGCTGAAATCCAGAACCTTTACACTTAATATAAAAATCCTGGTAACATTATATACCACATATGTATACATAAATTTGTAATTTGTGGGCACCCTTTCTTTTTCCTATCCCTTTTCATACTGAATTCTAGCTGAGAGACACTAAAAGGGAGGTTAGTATAGCAGAGAATTTAAGAGCAGAGGCTCTCAAATGGGAGAGTAGGTGTAGAGGAGAGTAGGACACAGGTTAAGAAAATAGAATTAGTAGATTCTGTGTGTGTTTTTTTTTGTTTTTGTTTTTGTTTTTTGTAGATCCAGACCCTGATCTTATTAATTGCCAATAAGCAATGACCAAGCTTTGGTCAAGACTCCATGACTCACTCACACTTGCTGGAAAAATATCTAGAATGTAAGGCCACTAAAGCAGTCCCTAGGGGAATAAACTAAAGCAATACCCCATTATCCTACAGAAAGCCCTACCTTTCTTTCACCAAATCACTCTCTAATGGACTGAAACAAAACTTCAAACAAGTTATGTTTTCCAGAAGAGTTGTATCAAATCACAATCTTAGGCATCACTCAATTTTTAAAAAATTCTTGCCAGCAGGAATTCAGTAGTCTTAATTTTTAATGCACAAAAAATGATGTGCATTAAAGGGATGGGCTGTTTAAAGGGATGATCTGACAAATCATTTTGAAAGAATCAGTGCTAAATCCTTCTAACAGGAAAAGGTTTTTGGCTGGGTGTGGTGGCTCAAGCCTGTAATCCCAGCACTTTGGGAGGCCGAGGCGGGTGGATCATTTGAGGTCAGGAGTTCGAGACCAGCCTGACCAACATGGTGAAATCCCGTCTCTACTAAAAATAAAAAAAATTAGCTGGGCGTGGTGGTGCGTGCCTGTAATCTCAGCTACTCAGGAAGCTGAGGCAGGATAATTGCTTGAACCCAGGAGGTGGAGGTTGCAGTGAGCCAAGATTGTGCCACTATACTCCAGTCTGGGCAACAGAGCAAGACTCTGTCTCAGGGGGAAAAAAAAAAAAAAAGATAAAGGTTTTTATGTATAAAGTTTGCTTAAAGTAAAACCAATCTACAAGTCTGTAAATAGCTCCCTCATTGGGACTAGCTGTGTAGTAAGGTTGTCAGAGGTCTTAAGGAGCTATAGAGTGGGACATGTTAACTGTAGGTAAAACCAGTAACTGTTTAATTAATGTTACTTGAGAGACAGTAGACACCACCAAGACAACCACCACCCCCAAAAAAGAGATCACCCATCAATGCCTAAAATTCTCTCACCAGTGCCTCACTCCTTTGGTTTAGGCATTTGTATTTCCTACCAATGCTCTTTAGAGGGATACCAAGTACCAAAAGTTGGGGGGTTTTTTGTTTTTGTTTGAGACAGGGTCTTACTGTGTCACTCGGGTTGGAGTGCAGTGGCATGATCTTTGCTCACTGCAACCTCCACCTCCAGGGCTCAAGCGATTCTCATGTCTGAGCTTCCTGAGTAGCTGGGATTACAGGCACCTACCACCATACCTGGCTAATTTTTGTATTTTTAGTAGAGACTGGGTTTCACCATGTTGGCCAGGCTGATCTCAAACTCCTGACCTCAGGTGATCAACCCGCCTTGGCCTCCCAAAGTGTTGGGATTACAGGCATGAGCCCTCAAAAATGTTTTCTATTATGAGTTTGCCAAACTATTTTGTGACAGGAGAACTGGACAATACAAGTGAGAGTACTAGGTAACCTGATAAGAAAAAGGCTGGGCTCGTTGGTTCACGCCTGTAATCCAAATACTTTGGAAGGCCAAGACAGGCAGATCACTTGAGGTCAGGAGTTTGAGACTAGCCTGGCCAAAATGGTGAAACCCCATCTCTACTGAAAATATGAAAATTAGTAGGCGTGATGGCAGATGCCTGTAGTCCCAGCTACTCTGGAGCACGAGAATTGCTTGAACCCAGGTGGCGGAGGGTACAGTGAACCAAGATCACACCACTGCACTCCAGCCTGGGCAACAGAGGGAGACTCCGTCTCAAAAAAAATAAATAAAAGAAAAGAAAAAGAAAACACAGGAGAGAAGGGAGGAAGGATTAAACTGTAGAGGGCTGTGGCCACCCCTGGGAAATGTAGTTAACAGGACCACCTGAATCTCCTGATCACCCAGACAATGGGTGTTCAACAAAAGCTTAAAATCTTTCAAGACAATATCACAGCCTCTTATAACAGTTCATCTTGAGAGAGGACACAATGTGTCAAAAGGGAGAGTGTTAAGATCTAATTCTTCTTCAACAGTCTAGTGACCATGGGCAAGTTTCTTGGTCTAAGCCTTAGTTTCTTAAATTAAAAAATACTCTAAGGTATTAGAGTCTCTAATGGCTCTTCTAACTATAAAAAGTTATATATTTTCCGTAAATCTTCCATCATGTTTGTAATGCTTTTTTTTTTTTTTTTTTTTTTTTCCTGAGACAAGGTCTCACTCTGTCGCCCAGGCTAAGTGGAGTGGCCCGATGGCGTCTCACTGCAACCTCCATCTGCTGAGCTCAAGCCATCTTCCCATCTGAGCCTCCGGGACCCATGTGGTCCTGGGAGTAGCTGGGACCACAGGTGCACGCCACCACACCAGCTAATATAGTGCTAATTTTTACAGATCAGTTTAACTTTTCTGTTTTCTTTTTAGTGAAATTCCTCAACTTCCTCTATATATCAAAATTTCTTTCCCCATTTTTCTCAATGCCCTTGATCCCACTTTCCCCATGCCCTTCTGTCACTTGCATTCCATTATTTCCTCACATGTTCAATTTCTCCCTCTATTGGCTCCTTCCCCCGACATGCTTTTCTTGCCCAACCTAAAACTGCCACTTTGTGACTCCTTGGGTTAATGTCTTTTCTCTCCTTCTCAAAATTAATCTCTTCCTCCATTCACGTTCCAAGGTCTTATCTTTTTAGCCAATATTTTTTTTTTTTTTTGCCTGTAAAGATGCCAAGGCCTGGCACGGTGACTCAAGCCTGTAATCCCAGCACTTTGGGAGGCCGAGGCGGGTGGATCACGAGGTCAGGAGATCGAGACCATCCTGGCTAACACGGTGAAACCCGTCTCTACTGAACATTAAAACAACAACAAAAAAATTAGCTGGGCGTGGCGGTACGCGCCTGTAGTCCCACCTACTCGAGAGACTGAGGCAGGAGAATCGCTAGAACCCGGGAGGCGGAGGTTGCAGTGAGCCGAGACCGCGCCACTGCACTCCAGCCTGGGCGACAGAGCGAGACTGTCTCAAAAAATAAATAAATAAAAATAAAATTAAAACACGAAAAAAGAGCTTCTAGCGCTCTTCTCTACCCAGCACCTCCCGCCCCAAATACGATTCAATACTTCCCACAAACCAGCGCTGTTGGGAATGCTTGTTCCGCAAGGTGACATAACGATCCGTATTTCCTATCCCCGCCTTACACTACAGTCTAGAGGCAGTATCACTGGATGAAAAAAAGGCCAGTAACAGCAGTCTAATCTCCCACAAACGGGCCGGGGACAAATTTATCCTACAGACACTCAAAACACAGTCTACCCTAAACACCATCTACTCAGATCCCCGTTTTCCAAGCAGCCACGGCAGAACGGTTGCGGCTGTTGCCTGGAAGGGGATCTATTACTATAGTACAGACCCCAACCAGGACCCTCACCACTCCCACAGCCAGCAGCACCAACTCACAGCCATATTCTGTTGCCATCGTGGGCATCCCCTTGATGACGCCACAGCCGCCCCCACGCACCTGATTGACCATCCCCGAAGCTATGAAGTGGCCTAGTACTAGCCCAGCGCCGTTAGGTGCGGACGCCGGGTCCCAGGGGTTGGCAGCCGCCATGGCTCGGACTCACCTCCCGCGAAGGCGCCAAGAGTGAGTTGGAACGCAGGGCAAACGCACGGCGCGGCTCGATGACGTCACAGGGCGGTCCCGCCCGGGGCTAAGCCGGGGAGCGCATCCCGGCTACTGTGGGTCCTGGGTCTTCACCTGCGGAGCCATCCGGGAGCTGAGCGGTGGGAGGCGAGTACGGGGTTCCCTGATCTTCCGTAGGCTCCCAGAGGCGCCTGGCCTCCGCAGAGCTGCAAAGGCGGCAGGGCTTGGTGGTCGGGCTGTCTGTTCTTCCGTCTCTTCCTTGCCACTCTTGGGTCGGGCCCCAGGAGCCAGGGATCGGCGGGAGATGAGAGCTGGGGCGGGAGGCCGACCGGGTGGACTGGGCGGTGACAGCTGCGCTTCCTTCCCGCAGGGACCTGAGCCGCGGCGCTAGGATGGGAAACAGTGCGCTCCGCGCTCATGTGGAAACGGCGCAGAAAACTGGTGTCTTTCAGCTTAAGGACCGAGGGCTGACCGAGGTGAGAATGGGAGGGACACGACCGGGGAACTTAAAGGGAGAGGGACGGCGGGGGCGGCGAACTTAGTCGGTGCGGGATTCTCCACGCTGTGAACTCCTTTCTCCAGTTCCCCGCAGACTTGCAGAAGCTCACGAGCAATCTCAGGACCATCGACTTGTCCAACAACAAGATCGAGAGCCTACCGCCTTTGCTGATAGGAAAGTTCACTCTGCTGAAGAGCCTCTCCCTGAACAACAACAAACTGAGTATGGCTCTTGCCTGGGAGGCTTTTGCTAGTGATAAGCTGTTACCAGGGGTGGTTTTCTCTTACAAGCTGATTTTTGTTTTCGTTATGAAACCGTGCAGGAGGGCTCAAGTTGCAGAATGCCGGAATCCTTGAAGCCTTCTTTCTACTTGTAATTACATCAAAAATAAGCCTCCTTGGGTGTTATAATGATTGTTACTGGGTTAATTTGGACTTGAAAGGGAAGAACATTTTGGGGATGTAGTGTAAACAAAGCTACCTAACTTGGAATGGGGGATGGATGGGAAGGGGAGGATCTTCCAAATATCACAAAATTGCTGTCAAATTGTGCCTTGGACCCCTTTACAAAAGGAGTCCATTATACACACAAATGCTCACCTGCATTTTGATGGCACCCTCACCTTCTAAAGACTATGTTGGTAAAATGCAATACCTAAAAATGGCACATGTGGGAATTTTACATATATTAACAAGAGGCGAAGCAGGCTGCCATATAGTCTTTAGAAACTTCATCAAAGTTGTTTTCAGCTCTATCAGATTCAGGTTTTAAAAACATTTTCTTTGCCAGCTGTTCTGCCTGATGAGATATGCAATCTGAAAAAACTAGAGACGCTAAGCCTGAACAACAATCACCTTAGAGAGCTGCCGTCTACCTTTGGGCAACTCTCTGCCCTCAAGACCCTGAGCCTCTCTGGGAACCAACTGGGAGCATTACCTCTCCAACTTTGTAGCCTGCGGCACCTGGATGTGGTGGATCTCTCTAAGAACCAGATTCGAAGTATACCTGACACAGTGGGAGAGCTGCAAGTCATCGAACTCAACCTCAACCAGAATCAGGTCTAGAGCTTAAGGTTTTTTCCCCTACAGCGTATGTGTGGGTATGGTCTCCTGATACCTCTTAACCTCTTGTTTCCTAAGCTGTCATCACAGAGCTAAGTATCAGAGGCTAGATGAGAGGTTTCTTCTGTAAGCTGAACTAATTTCAAGGCCCAAAGTGCCATGGAATTAGTTGAGACACTGGATGTGTTAGTTGTGTAGGTGTTTTCGGGAGGATGAGGTAGGTAACAGGGAGAGATCATTTCAAAAGTTCAACTACTGTCTCACAAATCTTGAAGAATTCTTCAGATCCTCCTCAAATATGCCCCGAAACAGCTAGTCAGGAGCTATGTCAGGTATAGAATGTGGAAATGAAGCCTAAACTGAGGTTCTCAGAGTCAGGTGTCAGAGGTAATTCAGTTTTTTCATTTTGTCGGGGGTTTTGACATCTTTGTTAAGTGTGTCTTCTATTTTTGCTGAAGAATATTAAGTGATAGGCTTTCTGGAGATAGCCCATTTCACTGTTATACAGCTTTAATTATATTTGAAATTTGTTTCCATTACTTTGGCAGCTTTTCAATTAATATTTGTCTGGAAAACCAATCCACACATTCTTGTCTAGGCATGAAGGCACAAATGATGAAACATTCAACACTGTGAGACTGGATGGCCTTTAGTTTTTTAGTGGTCTGTATTTCTGGATCTCCATGATCCATTAAAGTAGTCACTAGCTGCATGTAGCTATTCCTTTTCTAGATTGTAGTGATTTTACATCATGATGAAATTCAGTCTGTCTTTGAGGGATTGGCCTCATGTTTTTGACCTTAAGTGGATATTCTTATATGTTATAGAGCTTCTTGGGGGGGGGGGGAACTGAATCAGCTAAGCAGCATGTGTCAGTCAAGGATTTGCTCCACATTCACCTCTGCTAGTACCTTTATTCAGTGGTTCTCTGACTTTAGTATGCATCAGAACAACCAGAAAAGCTTGTTTAAAGAGATCATTAGCCCCTGCCCTCAGTATGTCTGATCCAGTAGGTCTGGGATGAGGTCTGAGAACTTGCATTGCTAGTTATTGAACTTACTAAAGTTCCCATCATTTCTAATAAGTGATGATCTGAGATGATACTAAGCAGAATCAAAGAATTTAGTGACTTTTAGTATTTAAATGGCAAAAGGGGTGAGTCAAAGACAATTGCTTGGTATTGAGCTTGAGGGCCTAAAGGAACAGTGGTGTTATTGAGAATGGACATGCTAAGTTGTCTGTGGTGAATCTTGTAAATGGAAATGCCTTAATGAAAGTTGGAAACATGGGAGCAGAATAAAGGTAAGAGTGTAGATACAGATCTTGAGGTCATAACAAAAGTGATGGACTTTAATGAATGAGCTTTCTAGGAAAAGTTGAGAGAGAAGATGACATATGAAGTATTAGGGACAGCTACTTGAAAAATGCCTATAAAAACAAGAGAAGTAAGGAATAATCCAAAAGATAGGAAGAAAAACCAAAAAGGACAAAAAGAAGGGGTTTTAAGGAAGGGATAGATAGTATAGTTAAATGCAATAGGGACTGAGGACGATGGATCCTTGAATTTGGTAGTAAAGTGGTCAGTATCTATGTACACATAAAACATCGGCAGTAAATGTACCAAAATGTTTATGGTGGTTATTTCTGGGTGGTGGATTCTAGGTCAACTTTTTTCTTTAAACCTGTGATTTTCAAATTTTCTATAATGGACATACAGTGCTTTTATCATCAGAAAATTTTGTTCCCAAAAAGCCACTGGTGACCTTCATAAAAGCATTTTTTTTTAAGTGGGGGCGTAGTAACAGAAGCTAGATAACAGAGGCTTCTGGAGTGAGTAGGCAGTGAGAAAATGGAGGCGGTAAAAGAGGGGAAAACTAGAACAAATAGTCAAGTAAAGATTTTTTGTTTTGTTTTAATGTACTAAAAGTAACCAGTGTAGTGCTTATGCTTTTTCCTGTTATTCTTTTGTGGTTTTTCAATAGATATCTCAGATCTCAGTGAAGATATCTTGCTGTCCTCGCCTTAAAATTCTTCGCCTGGAAGAGAATTGTCTTGAGCTCAGCATGCTTCCCCAGAGCATCCTCAGTGATTCCCAGATCTGTCTGCTTGCTGTGGAAGGCAATCTTTTTGAAATAAAGAAACTTCGAGAACTGGAAGGCTATGATAAGGTATGAATTAATGTACTTCTACATTTCTAGTCACTACCCCAGAGAAGACAATGGTGAAGTAATCCAAAGAAATGTTTATAGCTAATGTCAACAGGATTTGTTCTTCCCCATTTTGGAAGTAGATTCAAAGCATCGGCTGAATGGTGTACCAAGATGACTTTTTCTCTAGAGACAGCTTATTGTAAAGCATCTTTGTCTTCATCTTTGTCTTTTGAGAGAGAGATATATACACACATATATATACACACACACATATACATATATACACGCATATATATACACGCATACACACACACACACACACACACATAGATATATATATATTTTTGTGTGTGAGACAGGGTCTCACTCTGTTGCCCAGGCTGGAGTGCAGTGGTGCAATCTCAGCTCACTGGCGCAGCCCCCACCTCCCGGGCTCAAGTGATTCTTATCCCTTGGCCCCCTTAGTGGCTGGGATCACAGTCGCACGCCAGTATGCCTTGCTAATTTTTGCAGAGATGGGGTTTCACCTTGTTGGCCAAGCTGGTCTCAAACTCCTGAGCTCAAGTGATCTGCCTGCCGCAGCCTCCCAAGGTGCTGGGATTACAGGTGTAAGCCACCGCGTCCAGCCCTATGTGCTTTATTTTTATTTTTTTTTGGAGGCAAGGTCTCGCTCTGTCACCCGGCTTGAGTGCAGTGGCAGGATCTCAGCTCAAGTGATCCTCCCACCTCAACCTCCTGATTAGCTGAGACTACAGGAGCTACCATGCCTCATTTTTCTATTTTTGGTAGAGATGAGATTTCACCATATTGCCCAGGCTGGTCTCAAACTCCTAGGCTCAAGCGATCCATCTACCTTGGCCTCCCAAAGTGTTGGGATTACAAGTGTGAGCCACTGCACCCGGCCAAAACTATGTACTTAATTTTGCATTTAGAGCAGTTATATTTTGTAGGAAATGAAAAACCACATGTGGCTGGGCGCGGTGGCTCAAGCCTGTAATCCCAGCACTTTGGGAGGCCGAGACGGGCGGATCACGAGGTCAGGAGATCGAGACCATCCTGGCTAACACCGTGAAACCCCGTCTCTACTAAAAAAAAATACAAAAAACTAGCAGGGCGAGGTGGCAGGCGCCTGTAGTCCCAGCTACTCGGGAGGCTGAGGCAGGAGAATGGCGTAAACCTGGGAGGCGGAGCTTGCAGTGAGCTGAGATCCGGCCACTGCACTCCAGCCCGGGCGACAGAGCGAGACTCCGTCTCAAAAAAAAAAAAAAAAAAGAAAAACCACATGCAATAAAAACCAAAATTTAAAAAAAAAAAAAAAAACACAAACAGTTAGGCTTTTATTTATTTACTCATGCCAAAATACCCCTGATGTATTCTTTCATGTTTTTTAGTACATGGAGAGGTTCACAGCCACCAAGAAGAAGTTTGCGTGAAGTTCTCCAGGACTATGGAAACCTTACAGGATACTGACTTAGAACCTCTGTTGGAATGTGGCTGAGTCAAAGCCTCCTGTTGTTGTTAGGGGTATCTACAGTAAGGAGATGATACTCCAGGAGATTATATTTCACTCAATGATCCTTTTTCATTTCAGGGCTCTTCTCAAATAAGCTAAAAGAAAAAGGGTCAGGAGACAGGAAAAGTCTTCCATTTTGAGTCACGAGTAGGGCAATAGACAAGGTTGATCTTCAAAACCATCATTAGTTTGGCTTTAAGAAACCAGTAGCTAGCTGCTATTTATATGGTGAGGGGGTGCTGCCTGGTAACAGAATAGCTCCACACCACAGCTTGAGATTTTGTTTAGTTTCAATGTGCGAGCTTTCATAAAGTCAGTTGCCATTCCATCTCTGTGTTAACACTTCATATTTTTATGAAATTCAGATAATTTGTGAGAGGCTGGCATGGATCTAAGGATTTATTATTTTTATTCGAGTCCATCAGTTCAGTCACAGTTTTTATACTAGGACTTTAGGATATATATAAATGTGTGACTGTTTGTCTTGATTAAAAGTGCACTTTGGGCTGGGCATGGTGGCTCATGCCTATAATCCCAGCACTTTGGGAGGCCAAGGTGGGTGGCTCACTTGAGGCCAGGAGTTCAAGACTAGCGTGGCCAACATGAGAAAACCCTGTCTCTACTAAAAATTCAAAAATTATCTGGGTGTGGTGGTGCATGCTTGTAATCCCAGCTACTTGGGAGGCTGAGGCAGGAGAATCGCTTGAACCCAAGAGGCGGAGATTGCAGTGAGCTGAGATTATGCCACTGTACTCCAGCGTGGGTGACAGAGTGAGACTCCATCTCAAATTTTAAAAATAAAAATAATTTTTTTTTTTAAGTACGCTTTGTTTGCTGGGCGTGGTGGCTCACGCCTGTAATCCCAGCACACTGGGAGGCTGAGGCAGGCGGATCACGAGGTTAGGAGTTCGAGACCAGCCTGGCTAACATGGTGAAACCCTGTCTCTACTGAAAATACAAAAATTAGCCTGGCGTGGTGGTGGGTACCTGTAATCCCAGCTAACTCAGGAGGCTGAGGCAGCAGAATTGCTTGAACCCAGGAGCAGAGGTTGCAGTGAGCCGAGATTGTGCCATTGCACTCCAACCCTGGGCAACAGAGCAAGACTCTATCTCGGGGGAAAAAATAAAAAAGTGCACTTTGTCAGGAGAAGCACCAACAGACCTCTAAGAAATGCTCTCTAAGGCTGCAGTAGCAAATTATTTACTATTGCAGGTGCCTTATTGGTAGAGGGCTATGAAGAGCTAAAACTGTATATGCAACACTTGTAAGATAAAAGGGATTTTAATAATCAAGATTTTCCTGAAGATTTGTTAGAAATAATGTCTTATTTCTGGTAACCTTTCCCTTTTTGTATTTATAACTTTACTAACCAAATTACCTATCAATAAACCATTACTATAATATTTTAAAACAACCTATGTTTATTAAGCTTACTCTGAGTGAGAGAATATACTAAATAAAGATTTTTAATTAACTTTGGCTGGAAGCAAGGTTAATCCTTTAAAGGAGGACAGGAGAACTTTAACCTATAAATAGATTAGGAAGACGTTTCATGCTCATGTTCACATTGTATGAGTAGTGAAATGCCTTCATGTGACAAAAACATTTTGTGATATAATGCTTATTAAGAGAATCTGAGGTTGGGCGTGGTGGTTCATGCCTGTAATCCCAGCACTTTGGGAGGCTGAGGCAGGTGGATCACAAGGTCAGGAGTTCAAGACCAGCCTGACCAATGTGGTGATACCCTGTCTCTACTAAAAATGCAAAAATTAGCCAGGTGTGGTGGTACGCACCTGTAATCCCAGCTACTCAGGAGGCTGAGGCAGAAGAATTGCTTGAACCTATGAGGTGGAGGTTTGCAGCAAGCTGAGATCGTGCCATTGCACTCCAGCCTGGGCGACAGAGTGAGACTCCGTCTCAAAAAAAAAAAAAGAATCTGAAGGTACAAAGGTAGAGAATTTCAGATTATCACTAACATGAACGTTTAGAAAGCTACCATTTTGGTCATTTTCTGATTTTATCTTAGCCACAAAGCTATTACTAACTATATATCAACAGTTCTCAATAATGGTTAAACCTAGTTTATCCATTAAGTCAAGAGATCACACAAACCTACTATTTAATCTCTATGACAAAATCTTTCTGACATAAATCTGGTCTAGGTATTCTTTTTCCCATGTGTTACTTTCTTTTTTGAGACAGAATCTCATTCCAGGCTGGAGCGCATTGGCACGATCTTGGCTCAACTGCAACCTCCACCTCTCAGGTTCAACTGATTCTCATGCCTCATTCTCCTGAGTAATTGGGATTACAGGCATGTACCACCACACCCAGCTCATTTTTGTATTTTTAGTAGAGACAGGGTTTCACCGTGTTGGCCAGGCTGGTCTTGAACTCCTGGCCTCAGGTGATCCACCCACCTCGGCCTCCCAAAATGCTGGGATTATAGGTGGGAGCCAACACACCCAGCCTCCCATATGTCATTTTCTGTTTCTCACTTTGAAAGGGCTCCAAGGGTACTAATTTATCCATACCAGTTGAGGAGTTTTGTTTTTTCTAAAGTTTAATGTTTAGTTTATTAATCTTATTGATCTACTGAACAATTAACATTTCTCTAAGTGGTTTTTTTTTTTTTTTTTTTTTTTTTTTGAGACGGAGTCTGGCTCTGTCGCCCAGGCTGGAGTGCAGTGGCCGGATCTCAGCTCACTGCAAGCTCCGCCTCCTGGGTTTACGCCATTCTCCTGCCTCAGCCTCCCGAGTAGCTGGGACTACAGGCGCCGCCACCACGCCCAGCTAGTTTTTTGTATTTTTTAGTAGAGACGGGGTTTCACCGTGTTAGCCAGGATGGTCTCGATCTCCTGACCTCGTGATCCGCCCGTCTCGGCCTCCCAAAGTGCTGGGATTACAGGCTTGAGCCACCGCGCCCGGCCTTCTCTAAGTGTTTTATCAGTACTTCTCATCTAATAAATCAGAACTTATACAATTTTTTCTTTTTTTGAGATGGAGTCTCACTCTGTCACCCAGGCCGGAGTGTAGCGGCACAATCTCGGCTCGTTGCAACCTCTGCCTCCCAGGTTCAAGCAATTCTCCTGCTTCAGCCTCCTGCGTAGCTGGTACTACAGGTTTACGCCACCATGCCCTGCTAATTTTTTGTTTTAGTAGAGATGGGGTTTCACCATGTTGGCCAGGTTAGTCTTGAACTCCTGACCTCAGGTGATCCGACCGCCTTGGCCTCCCAAAGGGCTGGGATTACAGACGTGAGCCACCGTGCCTGGCCAGAATTTACACATTTAACAATTTAAATGTTCCCATTTAATTGTTAATTGGAACTTAGTCCACACTCTTATCAGAATCTGCAACTACCACCCTTTACAACTTGGACCCAGACTTATTTCCCTTTCTTCACTCTCATTTGCCTGCCCACCCATATCAGATTATTCTGTCTAAACCCACGGTGCAGTCGCTCTCCTCTGACTCCCTTTATAGAGCTTGTCCCTCGGTGTCCATGGAGGATTGGTTTCAAGACCTCCATGGATACCAAATTCATGATGCTCAAGTCCCTTATATAAAATGACATCATATCTTCCTGAAACTTTAAATTATCTCTAGATTACTTATAATACCTAATATGCCTACACATAACTTCATTTGCATAGATTCAACATAGTATTTGATGCATGCCAAATTCAGGTTTTGTTTCTTGGAATTTTGAGGCATTTTCCCCCTCAAATATGTCTGATCTGCAGTTGAATCCACAGATGTGGAACCCGGATACTTAGGACCAACTGTATTGTTCACTCAGTTGGGAATGCCCATTCTCTGTCTCTTTTTTTTTTTTTTCCTAGAGGCTCACTCTGTCACCCAGGCTGGAGTACAATGGCACAATCTCGGCTCACTGCAACCTCCGCCTCCTGGGTTCAAGTGATTGTCCTGCCTCAGCCTTCTGAGTAGCTGGGATTACAGGCAGACACCACTACTGCTGGCTAATTTTTATATTTTTAGTAGAGACCGGTTTTACCATATTGGTCAGGCTGGCCTCAAACTCCTGACCTCAGTTGATCCACTGCCCTGGCCTCCCAAAATGCTGTGATTACAGGCATGAGCTAACGTGCCCAGCCTGCCCTCTCTTAATATCCTCATTCTCTATGTCTAAGCCTCTTTCCTGCATCTAAGTCAAATTAACTGCTCACCCATCTGTTACTATAGCACTTCTCACATTCTATATTTGTCTTTCATGATAGACTAACTCTTTGAGGGCAAGGGCTATATACAGTAATATGCCCAAAGTTACAGCAAACAAGATTTAAATTTAAATATGAGATAATCAAGTAGACTGGCTTGTGGTTTAAGACCCAGATTCTAATTTGGCCACTAGCCCAAGTCACCTCATTTTTTTTTTTTTTTTTTCCCCCAACAGATCTTGCAGTGTTGCCTGGGCTAGTCTTAAACACCTGGGCTCAAGTGATCCTCCCATCTTGGCCTCCCAAAGTGTTGAGATTACAGGCATGAGCCACTGCCTGGCTTTTAAGTCACTTTTGTTGTTGTTGTTTTTTTAAGACAGAGGCTCTCTGTGTTGCCCAGGTTGGAGTGCAGTGGCACAATCTCAGCTCACTGCAACCTCCACCTCCTGGGTTCTAGTGATTCTTCTGCCTCAGCCTCCCGAGTAGCTGGGATTACAGGCACCCACCACCAGGCCCAGCTAATTTTTGTATTTTTAGTAGAGATGGGGTTTCACTATGTTGGCCAGGCTCATCTCAGACTCCCAACCTCAGGTGATCCACCTGCCTTGGCCTCCCATAGTGCTGGGATTACAGGCATGAGTCACCACGCCCAGCCTATATATACTTTTTGAGACAGGGTCTTGCTCTATTGCCCAGGCTGAAGTACAGTGGCACGATCACAGCTCACGAACGCCTTGATCCCCTGGGCTCAAGCTATCTCCTCCCACTCCTCTTGAGTAGCTGGAGCTGCAGGTATCTGCCACCATACTCAGCTAATTTTTAATTTTTTAGACAGACAGGGGTCTTCCTGTGTTCCCCAGGCTGACCCCAAACTTCTGGGCTCAAGCAATCCTGCTTTACCTCCCAAAGTGCTGGGATTACAGGTGTGAGCCACCACATCTGGCCCAAGTCGCCCAAATTTTTTATAGCTTGGTTTGGAAGGCAATGTAATATATTAAAATCGTGGGTCCTGGAGTCAGAAAGATCCAGGTTTAAATCCAGAGTCTGTCATTTATTAGCTTTATGAATTTAAGCAATTTCGTCTCACTTGTAAATATAGGGAATAGCTCCTACCTCTCAGGTATGTTGCAAAAAATTATATAAAAGCACTTAGCATAGTGGCCATGACAGAGTAAGCACGCCATTTATCTCATCTATAAGGCATGAAAGTAGAATTTTACAAGTTGTACAGAAGTAGAAGGCTTGGAGTGGACACTACATTAAAAGGATTTAAAAAATGGAGCCAGGCAGAGGCAGGCATCTATAGTTCCAGCTATTCAGAAGGCCTGAGGCTGGAGGATCCCTTGAACCTAGGAGTTTGAGGTCAGCCTGGGCAACATAGTGAGATTGTGGCTCCAAAAAAAATAGTAAATAGGTTGCTCTGCCTATGGAGTAGCATTCTTTTATTCCTTTACTTTTTAAATAAACTTGCTTTTACTTTATGGAAAAAATAAACTTTTAAATGACTAGATGAGAAACTTGAATATCAATCTGAGAAATAAAATCTGATTAGGAATGGAATTGGGATAACCTAAACTTTTGGTAAGAGTGACCTAAAGAAAATAGCACTTAGATAAGCTACTTTGTTTTCCTTTTTCACTTTACTATTTTTTTTTTATATATATTTGTTCTGATTTACGGGGTACTTGTGATATTCTGAGACATGCATAGAATGTATAATGATCAAGCCAGGATATTTATGTTATTCATTATCTCAAACATTTATCATTTATTTGTGTTGGGAACATTTCAAATCTAGCCATTTTGAAATTTACATTGTTAAGTATAGTCACCCTACTATGCTATCAAGCATTAAAACTTATTCCTTCTATCTAACTGTATGTTTGTATCTACCCATTAACCTACCTTCCTTCATCACCCCACCCTGTACACCCCCTACCCAGCCTCTGGTAACTATCATTCTACTCTCTACCTCCATGAAATAAATTTTTTAGCTCACATGAGTAAGAACATGCAGTATTTGTCTTTCTGTGCCTGGATTATTTCACTTAATACAATGACTTCCAGTTCCATGGATACACCTCCAGTGTATTCATGTCACTGCAAACAATAGGATTTCATTCCTTTTTATGGCTGAATAGTATTCCACTGTGTATATATACCACATTTCCTTTATCCATTCATCTGCTGATGGACCCTTAGGTTGATTCTATTATCTGTGCTATCGTGAATAGTGCTGCAATAACCATGGAAGTGCAGGTATCCCTTTAATATATTGATTTCCTTTCCT